TCTCGTAGGAGTAAATGATCTTCTGAGCTTAGCAGCAGTTGATAGCTTTGGAGACTTCTTTCCCAAGTTTCTAATAGGAGAAATAGATGCGGTAGGCGACTTCTTTCCTATGTTAACGTTTCTTGTCGGAGAACTGGAGCCTTTAGGTGACCTCCGAACCAAGTTACTGCCATTTCTTGTAGGAGAAATCAAGACCTTAGGTGGGCTCCTGATCTTGACCTGAAACTTAGATGCTGATGTGGGAGGAGATTTGATCAAGAACTTGTGAGGCGTCTCTTTATTGTTCTTGATGCTGGATATCTCATTTCTGGCTATGACCGGAGACATTGTTCTACTGAACTTGGCTTGTTGTGTAGTGGTACCAGAAATAAACAGAGGGTTCGGAAAAAGAACCGCCTTTTTAACCCAAGGTTTGTGCTTTGGTGAAACCCTGTTAGCCAAATGCCGAAAACTATTCTCACCATTTCCCTTTTCCTGAACCTTCCCTGCTATTTTCTGTGGAGACACGGTTCTGAACGCAATTCTTGAGCGTGCCCTTTGTTGAGATGGAGGAGAATCTGATCCTGAACGTCTGTTCTGCTTTTCTTTCTTCCTTCTCGCTTTGATATTGCTACTGACAGTTTCAGGTTGGTTCGGTTCCCGAGATTTTCGTTCTGTCTCAGGTGTTTTAGGGCCATCGTCTTCTTGTGACATTGTTAATCTCCTGGACTTTCTACTCTTCTTTGGTGCTATGGCTTCTACAATGTCTCTTGTGACCTGTGAGGCTTGTAAGATTTCATTTACAGTCTCTCCTAGTAGCATTGCTGGGAGTGACATTTTCCTCCAATCTCCTACATTACACAATCAATAATTACACATTACACAATCTGCAGGAACTAAAACTAACTTGGTGAAACAAGGAGCTATCATACTTATTGCTTGTGAGTATGTGTGAGAATCAGAGAGAGATTGTACCTGGTGAGGAAGCTGGAAACTTCCCTACTGGAGATTTCTTATTAGTAGCACTCTTGATCCTACAACAACATGTAACAAGGGGGAAATTAAAACCCGAATGAGAAGCTTCTGAATTTGAGATAACACCAAAGTTTCTATAAGTGAAGTTTGGTTTTTGTCTCTTTCTGAGTTTACCTTAAAGTTTCTTGCTTGCATCTAAGACTAGTCCTCAAGTAAGTTCTAGTACTTCGAGGGCTAAGGTTCACACCGGAGACAACTTTGGTTCCTCCTGCAATTGTGTACTGTAGCTCTTGCAGTCTTTCCATACATTTGTCAACCTTCACAAATCAAACCAAATTGAGAATAATCAGCTAAACAAATCCCTCTAATGTTACATCCCATATTCTGATTCAAACCCTAAACTAAGAAACTAGCATAAGATCCTTTTGAAATCCGACAAGAATACATCAATTGTAATGGAAACCCAATTAACTTATAATAATCCATTAAAAGAAAGATCTCAGAAAATAGACAATTATTTAATTTGCAGTGGGTTCAGTCACTAAGTAAAGCTTCAAACATAGTGGGAAGGAGCCTGAGAACTGGAGCGTTTGCACATTCTGATAAAATTAAAAGTAGTAAACTTTATTATGCTAATCTTGTATTAAATTGGACAAAATACCTTGTTGATTGTTTCCTTGAGAAGATCTGAGTTGAGAGGAGGCACCACCATCGCCACTTTCCTCTGCTTTTGTGGGGTTCTTGCAACCATCTTCTATATATTTATCTTGAAATTCCCACTAAATTAACCCAAAACCTCTCTTTGGCCTCACAATTGAAAACTGAGCTTTGAGGATAAAAGCTCAAACCTTTGTAATAAAACCACCCATAAGAAGATCCTCACAACAGCATCAAGAAACCCAGATCTCTCTCTCTCTCTCTGTTTCTCTCGATCTCAATTGCTCTAGAATGTCTTTTTAGGTTACGGACACGAACATAAACGCGATATCCTATCTTGGATTTGGGTCTTGTGTGTTGTGTCTGAATGTCTGAATGTAAAGTCAAACAGGCACGGCGCACGGGAACTGAGAGAAAGAGAGCGGATAAAGGTGTTTACTTTCGTAACGGATCTTTCGTTACTATTTTATTTTAAAAAAATTTTGTCCCAACGGACAAATACACTACTCATAACGGCTATCTTTTGTGTGTGACTTGTGTGTGTGTGTTTGTGAGCCAGTTTTACTTTCTAATCTTCAAACTAAATTGATGTGAATTTAGTGGCGTGTGGGGACTACATGTCTACATGAGCCGTTATATAGTATTTTTTTTTTAACTCTAAAATTGTTAATGCCAAATTATCCCTAGGGTCTAGAAGATTAATCTTGGGAGAATTTTTCTACGCTTTGAACATAAGATTTCAAAATAATTTTTTTATTCAACATTACTAAAACTTCGTATATGGGCTGACTCATGCTTTTATAAAATTTAATAATATATATTTGAGATATACATAAGACATACAAACATTTTCTAAGCCATTAATACTCTTAAGATATCACTACTAATACTTTTTATCAAAAAAATAAATAGATGTCAATACTATTTTTTTGGGCTCTAATCTGAATTGATTGTTTGGAAAAATACTACTTTTTTAACCAAAAAAATCTCCCAAGTAATACTCGTTATTGTTGCTTTGGGCGTATATTTGTTATTTCTTATTTTCTTAGACTTCATAAAGTTTTTAGTCTCTCTTTCTTAATATTTTCAAACAAACTAAATTTAGGAAAATACTACTGGTTTTAACTTTCTTTTTATGAGGTTACAAATTTTACTCTAGAACATGTTGAGTAAACAAAAGATATAATTCTAAAGTGTTAAGATATGATGATATTATTTTTGTTGCAAATTTTAAATTTTAGTTGAAACTATCACAAAAATATTTTTAGGCCGAGAACTAAAACACTAACCAGAGAATAATCAGGAGTGTAATAAATGACATGAGCTTTTACTTCTGTTCCAAAAGAATGAGAAATATATTACCTCATGTCGATCTTTTTATTACATTCCTGGTCATTTTCTTGTTAATATTTTAGTTTTCGGGCCTAGAAATATTCAGATTGAGGTACATTATCTTCACATGCCTTCTTTCTTTGTTTTGTAGATACCATGGGAAAACAAACTGCTCACTGTTGGAGGTCATACAAACAATCTCTCTTCTATGCAAGGTAAACATAACACCTTCGAAGACAGTTATTTCCACATATCTTATAGTGGAATATCAATTATAACATACCATTTTGTATTGTTTTCCTTGTCACAGTGATGCTCTTTGATCCCAAAATCTGTATATGGTCAATGTTAAAGACATCTAGAAAACCACCGGTATATCTTCGCTTCTCTCATATTGTCTCATTTGTTTTTCGTCTCAGATTTGCATTGAAATATTCAAGTCTTGTAAACAGTTTAACTTTTTGGCCATTAAAAGACCAAAATGAAATATGTGGAGAGTAAACAAATGATGTAACTCTTCGAAACAATATAATTTTAATTCTAGATTAGTAGACATCATCCCATGAATTGGACAAAATGTGCACCAAGATTTTTGAGACATGTGTCTCATGGAGTCATGCTAAATTAGGACCCCACAATATTTTGTTTATTTTCTTTGGTAATTAGGGTTCACTTTAAAATTTTATGAACAAAAAAGTATGTAAATAATTGTTTTACTTGGTTAAATTAGTGATATTATGTCGTTGGAACCCACTTTTTTTTTTTAAAAAATCATTTTTAATGGTGTTCGCTTAAAGTAATAATATATTCCATCCGTTTCATATTAAGTGTCGTTTTAGACTTAAATTTTGTTATAAAATAAGTATTGTTTTATATTTTCAATGTAGATGTTTGAAAAAAATCCAGTTTTATTCTTACTATATTAATATGTTGACCAGTGAAAAAAGCTGTATAACATATTAATAAAGAATAGAATAGAGAATTTAGTTGTTTTTTAATAAGTGTGAAAAAAACTTTAAAAGATACATAATAAAACGGTATAGGATTATCAACTTTATACAAAGGTTTAAAAGTTTAAACTTTGTTAATAGATGTTGGGCTTCATGCGTTAAAAAAAAAAAAAAAGTAAATGTTGGGCCTCATTTTATATTTTGTTTGAGGCTTCACAAATCTTTGGGCCGGGTGTTTTATAGATCACTTGTAAAATCATTATTTTGGGCCGGAATTGGGCCATTCTGTTATAAGCCAACAAATATTAGAGTTATGAAAACAATTCATCAATTTCTTGTGTGGACTCAAATATTTAACCATGTCTGTTCGCATTTCTGGTTCATTGAACATGTAACCAAAATATACAGTAAAATTTCTATAAATTAATTTTGTTGGAACCATGATATTTTACTAATTTATAGTTATATTAATTTAAATTAATAAATATTATTTATTAATTTATGAAGTGATTTATTTTAATTCTTAAAATTTTAGAAAGAAATGAATTGAGACAAATTTATCTAAATAAAATTAGTGTTTTGTAGTCATGGACTTAAAATTTTAATAGTTAGAAGAAAAAACTATTTCTGAAATAAATTAGACAATAAAACTACAAAGACTATAGGTGAATTCACTTATATAAACGATATACGTAAATTCAATTGTGACTTCAATTGTCGTATTTTAAAAGCTATAAGACTATCGAAATGAAAATGATGCATATTTTAAAATTAAAAAACTTACAGAAAATCTTGATTATTTTTATGTCACAGTTATATAGTATAATACAACACTGTAATTTAAAAAACTTGTTTTATTCAATAAAAAATTAGAGATGGGTTCTAACGTAAATTCAATTTAAAAAATAAAACACAAAAATCATATATATTTATATGATTATTAATTTATGATATTATTGTGACCATATAGTTATATAGGAATTCTCAAAAATTATTATCTTATTATCTTATCGATTTTTTTTCAAATTTTACATTGGTCCGACTTGGGACCAGACAATTTTATTATTTGATAGTATTTATTAATTTATAGAGGTTCTACTGTATATATATACGACAAACTAGTCTCTATGAAAATCAACATACCGAATAGAGTATATATATATACACAAGTTCAGCCACAAGTTTGTTCTGAAACCATGGCAAGTTTCATTTTTCCTCTGCTTGCTCCAAAAATTTGAATAATACAATATCCTCTACAGTTTCATGGTGATATCTGGATGTGACCTTGTGGAGATTTGATTTATGTTCCATCTCAGACCCTTCTGGTTATTTTAGAACTCACTACCAGACATCCTGGAGCATCCGATTCAACTCTACCGTATTGCAGCAGAAAACAGCTATGAACTTCATAACCAGTCTACATGTTTTCCTGAAGATTCAGATTGTTTCTTCTTTGGCTTCTGATACCGATTGTTCTCATATTGAGCTTTGACAATGAGAGCATAGAGAAACTCTGCTTCCGCGGAACAATCATAAGGTTTGTCCACAACGCTGGACTTAGGGCGATAAGTGAGTATTCACAATCACAGATAATTTCTCAAGGAGGGTAGGGAGAAGCCTATACCTGTCAAGTAACTCTTCTAGAATAATTCTCTGTGATGGTGTGACATAATGTATGCAATTTTTCGGACACTGATTAACTGCAGATTGTACACGGTAATCTTCACCATGCCCTGGTCATATACACAGCGGATATATTATTAGAAGAGACAGAGCAATGTAAAAGGCAAATATGGAGGAAGTAAACCATCCAGACCTTGGGACATTGCTCGAGCTGTTCCAGATGAATCACACGAGAAGACATGAGAAGCTGTTTTAAAGCATGGGTACGAACATCCTGCAGTGTGAGAGAGACAAGTATACAACTCAACAGAATTTTTTTAAAACTTCTCTACAGACGATGTTCAAGAAGAAATGGAGCAACTAAAAGAGCTAACTTCAAAGAAAAGGAAGCGAGTTTGGTACTTTTTCCAACACAGAGGATTTCATTCACAAACACGTCAAGTGCCTCACACTCTGGATGGTCAAAAGGATCCAAGCATTCTCTGGTATGCAATTCACAGAGAAAAATACATTACTTGGTTGTTTTGGATAGAAATTGTGTTAATAGATTTTGCTGAAAAATGTATTATGAGTATACCCTTCAATTATCTCTGACCGGCTATAGTTTGTTAACATCTGCAAAGAAAAATACTATTGAGCTACTGTAAGTTCTAACCAAATCTGCTCACATAGTGTTGAACAAGGTTTAGTAACCTCATATGCCTGGATTATGCGACGGATCATAATATCAGAGTTGCTTCCCTCTTTGTTTACATCAGGATGGTATTGTTTCACCTTTTCAAAGCACAAAGTAGTCAACAAGACTGATACATATGAAAAATCCAAAACTTACGCAACGAGGAGGGGAAGAAAAAAAGACAAGTCAAACTGTGTAAAGAACAACTCAGAACCCATTTATAAATCGTATCAAAAGAAATTACTTAGCGGAAAGAAAAGTACAGATTAGTGATTCTTGGATGCATACTTTGGCACGAAAAGCTGCCTTTAGCTCGAAAGATGAGCAGCTTGGCTCCACGCCAAGTATAGAGTACGGTGAAGAGCTGGAGAGTGGATCCTCTCTGCTTTTCTCTCTGCAACTGGGAATGAATCGTTGAGAAGTAGAATTTCTTGTACTGGAGAAGAAAGAGATTTTAGGTACAGAAGCAAATACACGAAGACAGTCCATTGTATCTCTTACCTTCTCTTTCCCTAAATTTGTCCCCCTTTGAGGCGTTAACCAATGACCAGACAAATGTCCATATATTAAGAAGTAAGATAAAGAGACAAAACAGTAAAGCCTCTCTTTCAGTTAGAGAGGGTCTTCAACTAATAAAATCAAACTTTACAACACGCCATGGATATTCTCTACTCTTGTATGTACACATTCATGTAGAGAGAATATGTGAGCCTGAACAAGCAGGTAGAGCACTCAAATAAGTTACAGAGTTTGGATGGACCAATACTCTACGCATCAAACTAAACAATCTTAGACGATCATCATGTAACTCATTCTCTATCAGACCCGAAACCACAGCTGTCCAAGTGATGACATACATTCCTATGTGCCATCTCCCGGAAACCGAACATCCACATTTGAAATAAGATGTGGTCAGTTTGTTCCCCACGGAAGAAGCATCCTTTGTCATAACCACTTATAATTGCTAAAGCGTGAATCATCATCGTGGTCACCAAAGAGAACTCTGGCGTATCACACACTGATAACACAGTCGTCAAGGTCGCTTGATCAAACCCACCTGAGCCAAGCATTCGTTTAAGCAAAATAATATCTCTCACGGGCATTTCGTCGAACAAGTTAAACGCAATCAACTAACAACAAAGACAAGAGCGTGTCGATGTTTTAAATTGTATAGATTTTGTGAATGCCTTAAAAAGAGACAATTCGGAAAAGGCCCAACAAGATAGGCCCATTTTAAAAATCTAAGGTAGTCGTAGACGAGACGAAGAACAGAACACTCGAAGAGCAACAAGAAACCCTAATCCTCCGATAATGATGAGATTTGTGAGACCCGTCACTGCGCAGGTAATGGAAATCGACCGATCGTAAAAATTCTGTGTTTTATTGTTTCTTTGTTCTTGAATCGATTTAAATCTGCACCAAAAAAATTGCAGTTTTATCGCCGAGGGAAATCATTTGGGTGTCGCGATTTCTCTGCCGCGCGTAATCATCAGGAAGGTATCTCTCTTTGTCACCAAGTCAAAGGTTTTCACTTATTTCTTGTATAGAATGTCCTTCTGAAAACGTCTTTGCTTTTTTCAGATGATGTTATTGAAAAGGCCAAGAAGATGGGAAATGTGGATCTAGCGCTCTTCGTGTTGTACGATTTTTGTCGCCATAGTGTCGGACTCGCTGTGGGATCTGGTGCTGGTAAGTAATGCTTGAGAGATTTACTTCATTTCCTCAATTTTTTTTTGTTTTGCTTTCAGCTGAGACAACTTGCCCTCTCGTCATTTCTTTTTCTCAGCCTATCTTTTGATTGGCACCAATTCAGGAGAGGCTGCAGAAATCGAAGAGGTAAAGCAAGCTCTCTCCTCAACTGAAATTGTGTTTCACGATTGGAGGAAGGGGGCAACTCTTTTTTTACCATGTTAATGTGTTTCAGGAGTGGATGGAGAAGCAGCAGCTGCTAAAGAGGAATGAAGAACTCTTGGAGAAGTGCATGGGATATTATGGAATAACATCTGCCAAACGACCCCAATCTTCATAACTCTTCAGCTACGAAATATTTATCTGCTGAAACTTTTGTAAAATCTCTCTACCTATGTCTATCTTCATAACTCTAATATTGTATGCTGACTGCCTCTACCTATCACTCTGAGGATAGGTTTGAGTTTCTGGAAATCTTTTAGTTATATACTTGAGAATTTCCCTAAACGGTTTTAGTTTGTTTGTTGCATTAGCTTTGAAAGTTGTAGTATGCATTTGGAAGGGTTTGTTTTCGCACTCTTTTAAGACTCGGGATCACTTTGAGGGTTGTTTCTTTGTTACATTCTTTGGTTATGTCTACCCTTATCTTTAGATGAATGATGGAAATGGGATTTGTTAATACCAATTAGAGCTTCCATTTGGTTGACAATCTTTTTCGTGGTTTTGCTATGTTGATCCGATTTATACTTGTTTGAGCGAATGAAATTGAAATTCTGCAGTTAGATATACGGTTGCTTCCGTCCATGAAAACGTTTCTTTTCAAGTTAAGTACGTGGTTCACGTAGAATGGCCAATATGTGTATAGTCAAGTTTACACTCTTAAGCAGAAGATTTTGTTAAGCCGGTCAATGTCCTTATGTTGTGTATAAATTAATTCTTCCAAAGCTGGCTATACATATATTTTCATAGGATGGTTATGCGCATTGGTTTAGCCTCTTGGTGTTCGAGGTAGATTAGCTCGGTGATGTTTTCATGAATGGTTATAAACGAGTTCAGGAATCTGACATCCCTTACTACTGCTTACTAAATTGCATTCGCTTGTGTTACCAAAAACATCATCGAAAGCAGAATGTTGCAGAAAGTTAGATGGGGGCGTTGTTCATTCATTCACGGCGACGGCGTCTTCAGCGTAACTAGCGTTCGTACCAGAAAAAGAAAAAACTAGCGTTTCGTATTTAGAAAAGAAATCGGGACGAGTTCGAAGAAAATACCCAACAATAAAGGCCCATCTAATACAGGCCCATATTGAATATCCTAGGCCCAGAGTCCGAGATAAAGGAAAGGAGGAAACAAAAAAAAACATTCGGTCGAGAGAAGAAGAGCAAACAAACCCTAATTTCGAGATCGACGAGCCAAGCACCAGAGAGAAGGGATGTTGAATCGGATTTTCAGGGTAATCGAGATTATTCTTCACATGAACTCTTCTGCTTTGTCTGGTTTAGCCTTTATTTTTGGTGTTTGATAGATCTGTTTTGCTCGATATCGAAAAATTGCAGAGCCGTAGCTACCTCGAACATGCCTACTGCTCTGGCGGACCTGGCCTAACAGCCTTGATCGGATACTTTGGGTACATTTTCTTGGGTAATGTGGATCTGTGTTTCTCATTTAATCAAAAACAGTGGAAAAAAAAGTTTTGACATTTTCGTTTTCGTTTACTTCACAGATATTTGCACTAATTGCTGCTTTGCTTTGTTACCACAGAAGTTCTAGAAGGTAATCGAAACGACAAGAAATTACGGGAAGTATACAAAGAATTCAATCGCAGGGAAAAACTTTTTTATGAAGAAAACAAAGAGGTATTAAATATTCATATTCTGATTCCAACAAGGGCATTCTTTTCTTTTCGAATTGTATCATCATCGTATTTCCCTCATGTTTCAGATTATCGAGCTACTCGAGGAAGCTCATGCTAACCGCAGACACTGGTGAACTTCAAGTGCCCATCGTGTTGTGTTTTGGCAAGTTTGCTCAACTTTAATATGTTTTTATGCTGGTTTGTGCTTTGAGGGGAAAAAAAACTTGTCTTGTTAATGATTCCTCATATTTGAGCATTTTAGCTTGTGTATCCGACAAGACTTCGTCTTTATCCTTTCATCCTTTGTTTCTGCTCTAGACCTTTTACTAGACTATAAATTGATTCTCGCCAAACTGAAAAGGCTTATTCCTCCGGTATATTTGAACTCTTAACTACCATAAGTTTTTTGTGATAACCCAACAAGATGCTGAATAATTTAGAAGCTTTTCAAGCATTGGTAAGCCAAAGATGTCTTATATTTTCATGTACCAACCAACGCCATGTTTTTTTAATAGATTAAAATGTAATCTTGAAGTTTAACGAAGACATTATTCAACAATTTAAGATAGAGATTCGGCAAGATTTTTTTTCTTTTTTTTTTCGATTTCTTTACAGAGGAGGCCTTCCTCGGGCGCAAAGTACAATTTTTTTTTGTTTCCATGAACTTAAGAGACAAAAAGAATTGTGGAAATTTTAGAGAACCGGCAAGAGATTTAGACGCTAGGAAGTTGGTATCTTTTTGTAAAATACAGGATAAATATCACATTTCTGTTTGTAATTTATACACACAAGCAGATAAAAGGAGCAGCTTCTGGTTCTAATCCTCAAGGATCAAGTCTAAGTTTGCAAAACACTTGGTGGGTTTGATCATGGTTTGGCTAACGGTCTTGTGTTGTTCCAGAGCCACTGCTGAGTAGTAGAAGAACCTTCCATTCATGGTAAAACCTGTCAAGGAAATATTACCCGGTTCAAACAACTGCTGCTGTAGATCTATTACACTAAGAGGATAATCAAAGCCATGTTTCTATGTGTTGATATGCTTTGCTTTGAAGGCACATGCAAGCCTTTTGTCTTAGACTCGATCTACTTAGCTTTTGGATAAGGTAAGTCAAAGTAGTTTTGTGGACTAACCTTATCCCAGACTTCCGCGTGGTAAAAGTATTAAGCCAGTCAACCTCAGTATCAGATAGCAAAGAAGCATCAACAATTTTTGTCTGCATGGTTTGGTGAGTGAGCCAGAAGAATTGAGGGTTAGATCAGAGGCGAATGATTTTTATAAGTTGATAAGTCACTCCGTACCTGAATGGGGAAAAATATGTAAGCTTCTCAAATCCAAGGAGGTATGTAGCACCACCAAAGCGGTTTGGTGTTTCTGCATCTCTCACATGAAGGAGATTCTGCAAAAGCAGACCACACAATTGTTACCTAATCTTCTATTTCTTATAAAGACTGTCGTGGACAGGTGACCAAGTTGTACCTCAATTCGGATCCCAAATGCATGGCCTTCATAATATCCCGCAGGAGTAGTTTGAGGAAAGGAAAGCATATCACTCACTGAGTGTGTATTGACTATGTGTCGAGAAGCAAGTTCCAGCAACAAGGATGTCAATAACCATACCAGAGGGATTGGCAGTATATCCGCTGGAGTTCTTCATTTGGATTAGGGAAATATCATAAAAGCAATGAGTTTCTTTACCCCAAGTGAGAGTTCTTCATTCCCTGTAGCTCGGCATCATTTTTAATGGCCTTTGCCCACGAAATAGGAGATTGCATGTCAATACCAGAGGGATTGGCAGTATATCCGCTGGAGCTATCAGTAAACTTCGTCTTAGCTTTTTCTTCACTTTCAGAATTCCTTGAAAATATCTTTGACATGCAGATTTGTAGCTACTAATGATAGCTACGTTGAGGGTTGATGGATCCATCAAGAGCTGAGCTCCGCGTGCTGCCAGACTGAGAAACTCAAAGTGAGGTAGATTCTTTTTTCTGAAGCTTATAAATGGACATGGACAATCAAGTTCCTATTCCTTGAAGAATGGAATCGTAAGGTCTAAGTTCAGTCCCTGCGTTTTTCAAATGATCTTTCACCTCCGCCGTTACGTTAGAATTATCTAAAAAGGAGTTGGGCTTGGTCAACCTCTACAATCACATATGCATACATTACAGGTGAATGTGGAACATCGCTCCCTCTCTGCAATCACAAAAGGCACAATACAACATCAATACATTGGGACCTAAGTGAAGTATAAGCTGAAACAGTGGCACAAAGCTAACTGGTTCAAATGTAAGATGCTAATCTAGAGTATTACCAGATTAAGCACCCAAGCAATCTCATCAAGCATGGATATTACAATGGGAGATGCAATTTTGAGGCCACATCTAAACCAGCATACTTCAAGTCATGTATCCTTATTCGTTTGCTTGGAGGCTTTGGCCTTGTACAGTGTAAATCTTGTGGATGAGATATGGAAGGACACAAGTAAACCAACTCATGATTCTTCTTCGCTATAACCTCCTTCAATTCCTCAGCAGCATCGGCGTAAAAAAAGAACTGCTCCCTTCATGAATTGCAAAGTATAGTAAATACAAACCACAAACTACAATATTGAAGCTATCTAAGAATAAATACCAGATGAAATACTAAGGACAAAAGGAGACACAATTTAGAAGGTTTGATAGTAGCTTACAGGGTCAATACCAACTCTTCCACCAGGAGCCAAAACATCAGAACAGTACAGATTAGTGATTCTTGGATGCATACTTTGGCACGAAAAGCCGCCTTTAGCTCGGAAGATGAGCAGCTTGGCTCTATGCCGAGTATAGAGTAAGGTGAAGAGCTGGAGAGTGGATCCTCTCTGCTATTCTCTCTGCAACTGGGGATGAATCCCTGAGAAGTTGAGTATCTTGAATTGGAGAAGAAAGAGATTTTAGGTACCGAAGCAAATACACGAAGACATTCCTTTGCTGAATCTCTTACCTTCTCTCTCCCTAAGTTTCTCACATTGAGGCGTTAACCGATGACCAGACAAATCTCCATTTATTAAGATAAAGAGACAAAACAGTAAAGCCTCTGTCTCAGCTATAGGGGTCTTCAACTACCAGAAATTTTGGTATGTATATTCATGTAGAGAGAAGGCGTTAAGGAACTAAGACAATTGTGCCATTTCTGCCATCTCCTGTATAACAGAGAATAAACCTCTTATCAGGTCTGTAACCTTCATCTACCATAACCGGAAACAATTCAGACAGAACATCATATATAGCCTCTTCTTGTGGATGCATTTTGTCCTCAACCACAAAGCAGTGTGTTTTATGCTCAATTTCAATCCAACTTATGCCTGTTCCTTTAGTCACTCCCATTGCTTTCATTCTCTTGATAGTCTTCGCCCTTTCCTTCCATTTTTCTCTGGATGAGTATATGTTAGCCATCAAGATATGAGCAGCTGAGCTATCAGGTGCAGTTTGAAGCAACTGTTCAGCTGCATATTTCCCTATTTCTGTATCACCATGGAAACTACAAGCTCCAAGCAAGGCCTGCCACATTTTACAGTCAGGTTTCACGGGCAATGAGTCTATAAAGCTCTTTGCTTCTTTCATAAGACCAGCTCGACCCAACATGTCAATAATACAGGTATAATGCTCTGTCCTAGGCTTGATTCCATAGACATCTTTCATATCGTTTAAGAGTTCTCGGCCTTTATCGATTAACCCTGCATGGCTACAAGCATGAAGTAGTGATAGAAAGGTAACATCTGTAGGCTTCACGTCTTGCATAATCATTTCTTCATATAGTTTCAAGGCAGCTAATCCGTGACCATGGCAAGCAAATGCTGCAATCATCGAGTTCCATGAAACATAGTTCCTTTTGGGCATTCGTCGAGAGACAGTTTGTTAATGAGTCCATTGTTGACAAAGGTGTTACCGGAGAATTTTCATTTGATAACTAAAGAATGCAGTTGCTTGCCTAGACCCAAAGAGTTTATCGACAAACGAAACTCCAAGAACAGCTGAAACTACATTTGCATCAATCTCTACACCAGCTTGAAGCATTCTAATGAAGAACTGTATAGCTTCTTCCTCTGACCCATTTTGTGCTAAACCAACTAATATCAATGTCATCGAAACTTCATCAACTTCTTCGGTGGACTCGAAAATCTTCCACGCATCTTCAATGCTTCCACATTTAGAGTACATATCCATTAGCGCACTCTCAATGCACAATTCCACAAAAGAGCATGAATCAGTTTTCCTTCCATTATCCTCTGTGAGCCTGAAAATCGGTTCCCGGGATTTTCGTTCTTCTCGGGTGTTTTAGGGCCATCCTCTTCTTGTGACATTGTTAATCTCCTGGAATTTCTACTCTTCTTTGGTGCTATGGATTCTACAATGTCTCTTGTGACTGACTTGTGAGGCTTGTAAGATTTTAGTTACAGTCTCTCCTAGTAGCATTGCGGGGAGTGACATTTTCCTCCAATCTCCTACATTACACAAAAAAGATTACATATTGCACAATCTGCAGGAACTGAAACTAACTTGGTGAAACAAGGAACTTTTGATCCAATAATCTAATGAAAATTATACAAGATTACCAAACACAATCAATTATCCTTTACAGCTTCTAGTGTGACCAATTAATATAGTTATTGCTTGTGAGTATGTGTGAAAATCAGAGAGAGATTGTACCTGGTGAGGAAGCTGGAAACCTCCCTACTGGAGATTTCTTATTAGTAGCATTCTTGATCCTACAACAATATGTAACAAGGGAGAAATTAAAACCCGAATGAGAAGCTTCTGAATTTGAGAGAACACCAGTGTTTCTACAAGTGAAGTTTGGTTTTTGTCTCTTTCTGAGTTTACCTAAAAGTTTCTTGCTTGCATCTAAGACTAGTCTTCAAGTAAATTCTAGTACTTGGAGGGCTAAGGTTCACACCAGAGACAAATTTGGTTCCTCCTGCAATTGTGAGGCGTCTCTTTACTGTTCTTGATGCTGGATATCTCATTTCTGGCGATGACCGGAGACATTGTTCTACTGAACTTGGCTTGTTGTGTAGCGGTGCCGGAAATAAACAGAGGGTTCGGAAAAAGAACCGCCTTTTGAACCCAAGGTTTGTGCTTTGGTGAAACCCTGTTAGCCAAATGCCGAAAACTATTCTCACCATTTCCCTTTCCCTGAACCTTCCCTGCTATTTTCTGTGGAGACACGGTTGTGAACGCAATTCTTGAGCGTGCCCTTTGTTGAGATGGAGGAGAATCTGATTCTGAACGTCTGTTCTGCTTTTCTTTCTTCCTTCTCGCTTTGAAATTGCTACTGACAGTTTCAGGTTGGTTCGGTTCCCGGGCTTTTCGTTCTGTCTCGGGTGTTTTAGGGCCATCGTCTTCTTGTGACATTGTTAATCTCCTGGACTTTCTACTCTTCTTTGGTGCTATGGCTTCTACAATGTCTCTGGTGACCTGTGAGGCTTGTAAGATTTCATTTACAGTCTCTCCTAGTAGCATTGCTGGGAGTGACATTTTCCTCCAATCTCCTACATTACACAAACAAAAATTACACATTACACAATCTGCAGGAACTAAAACTAACTTGGTGAAACAAGGAGCTATCATACTTATTGCTTGTGAGTATGTGTGAGGATCAGAGAGAGATTGTACCTGGTGAGGAAGCTGGAAACTTCCCTACTGGAGATTTCTTATTAGTAGCACTCTTGATCCTACAACAATATGTAACAAGGGAGAAATTAAAACCCGAATGAGAAGCTTCTGAATTTGAGATAACACCAAAGTTTCTACAAGTGAAGTTTGGTTTTTGTCTCTTTCTGAGTTTACCTTAAAGTTTCTTGCTTGCATCTAAGACTAGTCCTCAAGTAAGTTCTAGTACTTCGAGGGCTAAGGTTCACACCGGAGACAACTTTGGTTCCTCCTGCAATTGTGTACTGTAACTCTTGCAGTCTTTCCATACATTTGTCAACCTTCACAAATCAAACCAAATTGACAATAATCAGCTATACAACGCTCTCTAATGTCAGATCCCAAATTCTAATTCAATCCCTAATTCAGAAACTAGCATAAGATCCTCTTGAATTCCAACAAGAACACATCAATTGTAATGAAAACCCAATTAACTTATAGAATAATCCATTAATAGAAAGATCTTTTTAAACTTGGGGCCAGAAAATGGACAATTATTTAATTTGCAGTGGGTTCAGTCACTAAGTAAAGCTTCAAACATAGTGGGAAGGAGCCTAAGAACTGGAGCGTTTGCAAATTCTGGTAATGAAAATAAAATTACTTTATTATGCTAATCTTGTATTAAATTGGACAAAATACCTTGTTGATTGTTTCCTTGAGAAGATCTGAGTTGAGAGGAGGCACCACCATCGCCACTTTCCTCTGCTTTTGTGGGGTTCTTGCAACCATCTTCTATATATTTTTTCTCTAAATTCCCACTCAATTAACCCAAAACCTCTCTCTGGCCTCACAATTGAAAACTGGGTTTTGAAGATAAAAGCTCATTAGTCAAACCACCCATAAGATCCTCACAACAGCTTCAAGAAACCCAGATCTCTCTAGAATGTCTTTTTAGGTCACGGACACGAACAGAAACGCGAATCCTAAATTCAAATGGGGGAACTGAGAGAAAGAGAGAGGATAAAGGGGTTTCGTAACGCAATACATGGTTTGCTATTCGGCGAAAACAAAACTAATTAGACTGGTTGACATCATCCCATAAATTTTGAATTGGGCTAAATGTGCACCAAGATTGTTGATAAGGGATAATAACCATGTGTATGAGCGGACGCAGACTGTACAAGGGTACAAGGGTACAAGAGTGAGAATTGTGTCTCATGCTAGATTTATAATTTTGTTTTTGTATTAAGTATTCTAACTCTTAGATGTTGTTTGTTCCCTTTTGGTCTTGTGTCTATTTGGTGAATGTTTGAACGTAAAAGTCAAACAGGCACGTGAACTGAGACAAAGAGAGCGGATCTTTCTATACTATTTAATTTTTTTCCCAACGGTCTACTACACTTACACATAAGTCGTAACAACTATCTTTGTGTGTGTGAGCCAATTCTAGTTTTTAATCTTCAAACTAAATATATGAATGTAGTGGCATGTGAGACTACATCAGCCGTTATTGAGTGTTTAACTATTAAAAAAATAAATAGAATACCACTTTTTATCAATAAATAGATGTCAGTACTCTATTATTATTATTTTGGCTCTAATCTAGATTTGATCATTTGAAAACTAACTACTTTAAAAAAAGAAATTCTCTAAAATAATATAGGTTTTAAAGACTCGTTATTGTTGCATTGAGAGTATATTTTGTTATTTCTTAGACTTCGTAAAAAAATTTGCTAAAAAAGATGTCAATACTACTATTTTTTTTTTTGCTCTAATCTGGATTGATCATTTGGAAAAATCCTACTTTTTTAACCAAGAAAACTCCCAATTTTATGAAAATATTTTACTTATTTCAACTTTTGTTATTATGATCGGCTACAAATTCTTTACTCTAGAACATGGGGAGTATACAAATAATGTAACTCTTGCAAACAATAGATTTTCAATTCTAGATTAGTTGACTTCATCCCATAAATTGTGAATTGGACAAAATGTGCACCAAGATTGTTGAGACATGTGTCTCATGGAGTCATGCTAAATTAGGGCCTCACAATATTTTGTTTATTTTCTTTGGTAATTAGGGTTCACTTTAAAATTCTGTCACTTTTTAAAAAATCATTTTTATGGGTGTTTTCTTAAACCAATAATATAATATATAGTGGTATCAACTTTAAAAGTTTAAACTTTGTTAATAAATGTTGGGCCTCATTTTATTTTCTATTCTAAGCCAACAAATATCATAGTCATAGAAACAATTCATCAATTTCTTATGTATACTCAAATATTTAAATGCCAAATTATCTCTTAAACCTACAATACAAATCTTGTCCTAAAGTATCTAGATATAATGAAAGTGAGTCTTATTATTTTTTTAATAATGTTCTTGTAATGAAAGTGATAATAGAAACATAATAATATACCTAAACCGGGATTCTCTGGACTTGGAGACATGGAACATGTAGTTATCAAGGCGGTCTGATATGTCTATAATTTGCATGTTTTATACATCCATTTATCACCATTTTGAGTCTAGTTTCGTTCATCTTTCATAGCATTCATCATCATTTCGCATAATTTGCATGTTTAAGTGTGTCTAGCATTAGTCTTGCATGCATTTTGCATTCTGGAGTTGTTTCAGGTGTTTCGAAGCTATTGATGTTCAGAAAGAGGAAAAACAGAGATGAAAGTCACATTTGGACCCTTATACTCGATCACCAGTTGAAGAGAGGGAAGCAGTCAGCTCAACAGACCACCAGGACCCTTATACTCGATCACAGGGCAGTCCAGCCAGACTGTTGTACTCGATCGCAGAGGAAGAGGAGAAGTCCATCCTGCCAGTTCACTGTTATACTCGATCGCAAGGTTGAAGAAGCAGTCTGTCCTGACAGTCTACCCACATACTCGATCACAACAGAGAAGGAGCAGTCCAGACCACGCCACCACCCATTCTACTCGATCACCACCTCGACCCTCTGATCAATCCGCACTCAACCAGACAACCTGAGCATAGGAAAGAGAAGAGGAGAGAAGGAACCACTTGATCGCGGCTTCGATTCCCGCTCGACCATGAAGCCCACTTTGAGCCCATCTACTCGACCACAACGTTCCATGGGCCTGTTAAGCGGACTCGAAGCCCACTTACTTATCTTTGTCGTTTTTACTATAAATAAGTCTCTAAGGGTTTTCCCTGGGGCATTCTCTTTTCAATTACGTTTTAGACTCGCAACCTAGTTTCGTTCAGTAGCCGCTTTTGCTTCTGAAACTCTGTATTTTCGTTTCTTCTAAGTTATTGAGATTTCGCTTTCGTTTCCTTGTTCATTTCTGTTTTTATTTCCTTTAATCTTAGAAGTTATGCAATCATCAATCGTTTCTGTGTCTTTGAGCATGTTGTCTGAGTAGTGACTAGGATTTCTGAGGATGGGATAGAGTAGATGTGAGACCCTTAGTCGATTCTGATGGTTAAGTGTAGTTTTATTGAATCCCTTCTGGATTAGTTGTGTTTACTGTTTATTCCTTTCTGATCAACTGGAATTCGATCAGAAGCATTCCCGCACCCAAAAGGTGTTCGATGGAATGCTTGATCTACTAATTCCAGTGATAATCGTCTCTATCCCAAGGGATTTGCCGTTTAGAGCGGTTATTGACTTTAACAGTCGATTCTTATTGCCTGCATAGTTAGATTCTGTTAATGGGAATTAGTCTGGGCTAGCTTTGCTTGAGGATTTGTTGCACGGGAGTGAATAAATCTGTTGTTGAACATGTTGTCTAGAGATAGCTTCATTGAGAATTGTTAACCATCGAAATTGATTATGGAGTCCACACTATTCGATTACCCCATCCTTAGGAGTTTCTTATCCAATTAATTTATCTGTTGTTGAACATGTTGTCTAGGGATAGCTTCATTGAGAATTGTTAACCATCGAAATTGATTATGGAGTCCACACTATTCGATTACCTCATCATTAGGAGTTTCTTATCCAATTAATTTATCTGTTTACTTATCTCTTGCATTCACCTTCTCAGTTACTTGCTATTGAGTTTTGATAATTGTTTTTTTTTTTGGGACCCTTTTACTCTATCACATCCTCCTTCTGGCAGTGAGCCTTGTGATAGAGTATATTAGTAGTTTCTGTGTCTTTTTACTATTTTCTGTACCAATCACTAGGACTGTTAGAAAAACAACCAATTCATGTTTGGCTTGACTTAGTGCTTTCTGATCATATCTCATTTGTTTGCATCACACCTGATTGGATTGACACCTAAAATACTACAACGACAGGATACTGTTTTAGGATTAATTGATCTTAAAATCTTATTATCACGGTCCAAATGAATTTTATGCTCAAAGCAAAAAAATTTAGCCCATTAATAAACACTAAAACAATTTTTGTACAAAATGTGTTAATCGAAGGCTCGAACTCGTCACATTAGGAGCATAAAAGTAAACAATATCACTATACCACCGCATCTCTATAGAAATTGATGCCCCTTACGCTTTTAATAACCTTGGCGCCTAACCCATAGACTAAAAATTCTAACAATGTTATGAAGGCTATTCGTGAAGGGAAAGTTCGGAACCCATAGGCTCAAATATTTAACCAAAGTATATATATACAACATAGAGTTTTTAATATACGGGGATCGTTTGATTCTAATTAGCTAGAACTTTGACACAAGTAATTTAACGAGTTCCCGGCCTCTAAACGGTACGTCTCATGTGGGACTCTCCCCACAAACTTCACTATCAAGTAAAAGGTATTACAAGCAAGAACAAAAAACTAGAAGGAACTCTCTTTGTTTCTCTAACTCTTGGGTGATTTTTATTGTCTCTCTCAACTTCTTTCTGTTTCTCTCACGTCTTCTCTTGTGCTGCCACTCTTACGGCACTCTTTTCTCTACCTTCTATAAGCAAACCCTAATCACCTTTGTTGCATGTTCCTCACCTTTCTCTTTTGCAACCAAACTAGGTCAGTTCTGATTTGAGCCCATATTGTGTAACAGGTTTGCTGGAAATCGGATTTGGGCCAGAGAGAAAAGACTAAGGCCCACAGACTCACACTAGTCTAGTCTCTATGAAAATCATCATACCGAATAGTGTATATATACACAAAAAAAAGATTTGTGTAACAAGTTCAGCCACAAGTTTTGTTCTAACTTAAGTGCGCCTAACACAGTTTTCTGAAACCATGACAAGTTTCATCTTTCCTCTTTCATAAGTTTCTGAAATCTGAATAATACAATGGCATGGCCTCTACTGTTCCATGGTGATGTGACCTTGTGGAGAGATTTTTTTTTAATGTAATGTTATATTATATTCAAAAAAAAAATATCGTTTTTACAACTAGTGCAACGTGTGCTTGAATTCAAAGTATAATTGAAATCTAAATATCAAGAAATCTTAAAGTCTTGATTCAAACCACATTTGTAGCCCTTTTTCATATCTTTCATCGTGGAGAGATTTTCACATTTTGATTTATGTTCCACATCAAATTCTTATGGTTATTTTATTATTTTATCGTGTTTATTAATTTATAAAATATTAATTTATAGAGGTTAAAGTATACTTTTTCCAACGCATAGGACTTCATTTACAAACACGTCAAGTGCCTCACACGTTGGATGGTTAAAAGGGTCCAAGCATTCTCTGGTATGCAATTCACAGAAGAAAAAAACACATTATATGGTTGTTGTTGCTCGCATTCCAGAATCATTTCTATGTTGTGTTAATAGATTTTGCTGAAAGATTATTATGAGTGTAAGCTTCAATTATCTCTGACCGGCTACAATTTGTTAACATCTGCAAACAGAAATACTATTGAGCTATTGTAAGTTATAGCAAAATCTGCTCACACAGTGTATAACAAAGTTAAAGTGACCTCATATGCCTGCATTATGCGACGGATCATAATATATATCAGAGTTGCTTCCCTCTTTGTTTACATCAGGATGGTATTGTTTCACCTTTACAAGCACAAACTTGTCAACAAGACCGATACATATGAAAAAGCCAAAACATACTTTGTTCTTGAAAGCATACTTTGGCACGAAAAGCCGCCTTTAGCTCGGAAGATGAGCAGCTTGGATCTATGCCGAGTATAGAGTAAGGTGAAGAGCTGGAGAGTGGATCATCTCTGCTTTTCTCTCTGCAACTGGGGATGAATCGCTGAGAATTTGAGTATCTTGAATTGGAGAAGAAAAGAGATTTAAGGTACCGAAGCAAATACACAAAGACATTCCATTGCTGAATCTCTTACCTTCTCTCTCCCCTAAGTTTGTCCCTTTGAGGCGTTAACTTATGACCAGACAACTGTTCAGATATTAAGACAAAGAGACAAAACAATAAAGCCTCTACAGAGGTCTTCTACAAGACGCCATGGGTTTTCTCTTCTCTTGATATATATTCATGTAGAGAGAAGGCGTTAAGGAACAAAGACACTTGTGTCTTCTCTGTCTTCTCCTGTATAACAGAGAATAAACCTCTTATCAGGTCTACCGTAACAGGAAACAATCCAGACAGAACATCATATATAGCCTCTGCTTGTGGATGCATTTTGTCCTCAACCACAAAGCTGTGTGTTTTTTTCTCCATTTCAATCCAACTTATGCCTGTTTCTTTAGTCACTCCCATTTCTTTCATTCTCTTGATCGTCTTCGCCCTCTCCTTCCATTTTCCTCTGGATGAATATATGTTAGCCATCAAGATATGAGCAGCTGAGCTATCAGGTGCAGTTTCAAACAACTGTTCAGCTGCATATTCCCCTACTTCTGTATCACCATGGAAACTACAAGCTCCAAGCAACGCTTGCCAAATTTTACAGTCAGGTTTCAAAGGCAATGAGTCTATAAAGCTCTTTGCTTCTTTCATAAGACCAGCTCGACCCAACATGTCAATAATACAGGTATAGTGCTCTGTCCTGGGCTTGATTCCATGGACCTCTTTCATCTCGTTTAAGAGTTCTCGGCCTTTATCAATCAACCCCACATGGCTACAAGCATGAAGTAGTGATAGAAAGGTAACATCTGTAGGCTTCACTTCTAGCGTAGTCATTTCTTCGTATAGTTTCAAGGCAGCTAATCCATGACCATGGCGAGCAAATGCTGCAATCATCGAGTTCCATGAAACATAGTTCCTTTTTGGCATTCGTCTAAAGACAGTTTGTGAATCAGTCAGGTCTCCGCATTTTGAGTACATGTTAATGAGTCCATTGTTGACAAAGGTGTTACCGCAGAATTTTCGTTTGATAACCAAAGAATGCAGTTGCTTGCCTAGACCCAAAGAGTTATCGACAAATGAAACTCCAAGAATAGCTGAGACTACATTTGCATCAATCTCTACACCAGCTTGAAGCATTCTAATGAAGAACTGTATAGCTTCTTCCTCTGACCCATTTTGTGCTAAACCAACTAATATCACAGTCATGGAAACTTCATCAACTTCTTGTGAGGACTCGAAAATCTTCCATGCATCTTCAATGCTTCCACATTTAGAGTACATGTCCATTAGCGCACTCTCAATGCACAATTCTGATTCAATCCCAAATTTCCACAAAAGGGCATGAATCTGTTGCCCTTCCACTATCATCTGTGAGCCTGAACAAGCAGCAAGAGCACTCAAATAAGTTACTGAGTTTGGATGGACCAATCCTCTACGCATCAAACAAAACAGTCTTAGACCATCTTCATGTAACTCATTCTCTATCAGACCCGAAATCACAGCTGTCCAAGTGATGACATTTCTATGTGCCATCTCACTAAAAACCCATCTCCCAGAAACTGAACATCCACATTTGAAATAAGATGTGATCAGTTTGTTCCCCACGGAAATCTCCTTGTCATAACCGCTTAAAATTGCTAAAGCGTGAATCATCTTTGTCACCAAACAGAACTCTGGCGTATCACACACTGATAAAACAATCGTCAAGGTCGCTTGATCAAACCCACCTGAACCAAGCATTCGTTTAAGCAATACAAAACCAGACTCAGTCTCTCTGTTCCTCAGAAACCCATAAAACACTATATTCTGCGAAATAACATCTCTCACGGGCATTTCATCGAACAACTTAAGTGCATCACCTAACTTCCCACATTTCACATACAGAGAAAGCAAAGAGTTCCAAACAACAAGAGCGTTTCGATGGATATCAGCATCTACAGGATCGAAAAATTCAGGATTCTTGACAATGGAGGCATGGAGACACGGACCCAGATAAGGAAACCAGCCTTCTCTGCCGCAGATGGATAAGAGAAGGCTCATATCGACATGGTTGAGGAGAAAAGTGGAGACTTGGTAACTTGGGCTCTGCCGGATTAGGATTTTCGAAGGGGACAAAACGGTAGAGAAGCAAGAAGGTAGGTGAGAGGTCAGTTTCTGAATCACCCATCTCGAATTCATTCACCAAACTTGCAAATTACAAATTTGCAATAGAATTTGCTTTCCACTCTAGTACTCGGCCGTTAAATTCAGTTAAATATGTGCAGCTGAATCATACAAAATTTAAGCTCGAGAAGTTAGTTGAATTTAGCTTCTCGAGAGATGCTAATGATAATTCGAGAAGATTAGTAAAAATTGAGGATCTTTTTGTAAAATACAGGAAAAATATCACATTCTTGTTTGTAATTTACACACGAGCGAATAAAAAAAGGAGCAGATTCTGGTTCTATCCTTAAGGATCAAGTCTAAGTTTGCAAACACTTGGCGGGTTTGATCATGGTTTGGCTAACGGTCTTGTGTTGTTCCAGAGCCATTGCTGAGTAGTAGAACCTTCCAATAATGGTGAAACCTGTCAAGGAAATATTACCCGGTTCAAACAACTGCAGCTGTATCTAAAAGACTTTGATCTATTACAGTAAGAGGATAATCAAAGCCATGTTTCCTGTGTTGCTATGCTTTATTTTGAAGGCACATGCACGCTTTGTGTCTTAGACTCATCTACTTAGCTGTTGGACAAGGTAATGGTGAAAGTCAAAGTAGTTTGTGTGGACTAACCTTTTCCCAGACTTCCGCGTGGTAACGATTAAGCCAGTCAATCTCAGTGTCAGATAGCAAAGAAACATCAACCATTTTTGTCTGCATGGTTTGGTGAATGAGAAGTGTGTGAGATCAAATGTAAGCAAAATCAAAAAGCTAGAAGAAAACCAGAAGGCTGTTAGATCAGAGACGAATGATTTATAAGTTGATAAGTCTCCGTACCTGAATGGGGAAGAATGTAAGCTTCTCAAATCCAAGGTATGTAGCACCACCAAAGCGGTTTGGTGTTTCAGCATCTCTCACATGAAGGAGATTCTACAAAAGCAGACCATACATTTGTTACCTAATCTTATATATCTTATAACGACTGTCATGGACTGGTGACCAAGTTGTACCTCAATTCGAATCCCAAATGCATGGTCTTCATAATATCCAGGTTCATTGCTTACTATCATGCCATTCTGAAGAGGGGTCATGTTTCCATACCGAAAGCTAATACTTTGAGGACCTTCATGCACATTGAGTGCAGCACCTACGCCGTGTCCTGTCCCTGTTAGGCAGAAAGAATATCATGAGTTTCTTACAAAAAAAGGGTTCTGTGAAGGAAGGTCAAAAGGTATTATAGAGTACCATGGCGGTAATCAAGCCCAATTTTCCATAGAGAAGAGCGTGCAAACCCATCCAATACAAAACCAGGAGTACCTTCCGGGAACACGGCTTCATCAAGAGCTATATGACCCTACAACAAAAAAAAACAAACAGACAAGGCAACCCAAATAGGTTTGTTTGTTCAAGATAGGTAATCAGTGGTCATCAAAAATGATGGGGAAAAGAGGAGCCAAATATCCCACCTGCAAAACTCGAGTGAAACATTCTTTTTCTCTGGCAGAAGGTTCACTAAAATGTACTGTTCTGGTGATGTCTGTTGTTCCATCAACATATTGAGCGCCACTATCCAGCAAGAAAAGTTTTTGAGGGTCTACACGACTGCAGCTCTCAGGCTCGGGTTTATAATGTATAATAGCACCATTTGCACCAGAACCTGCAGGAGTAAATTGAGGAAAGGAATGCATATCACTCACTGAGTGTATATTGACTATGTGTCGAGAAGCAAGTTCCCGTAACAAGGATGACAATAACCATACCACTTATTGTATCGAAGCTTGTATCCATAAAACCATCTTGCATTGAACGGAATTCAAGGAGCCTGTCAGCCACATCGACCTCTGTTAGGTTCGCATTCTTATGCACTTCGTCTTCCAGCCAAGCCCAGAAATGAGCTAGAGCAGCAGCATCTCTGCATAAAATAAGTGGTCAGCCAAAGACATTTCACATACATAAGGGAAAAAACAAAGTTTTCCAGAAATGAGCTAGAGTAGCAGCATTTCTCCATATATATATGGTCAGCCTAATATATTTAGCATTTGAAAGTACAAAAGAAACAAAAATCTTCCCGAGGAAAGTTGAATCCTCTAAAGGCGGTTGGATTAGGGAAAGATGGTATTGGAATGGGTTTCTTTACCTCAAGTGAGAGTTCTTCATTCCCTGTAGCTCGGCATCATTTTTAATGGCCTTTGCCCAAGAAATTGGAGATTGCATGTAAATACCAGAGGGATTGGCAGTATGTCCGTTGGAGCTATCAGTAAACTTCGTCTTAGCTTTGTCTTCACTTTCAGAATATCTTTCACACGCAGATTTGTAGGTACTAATGATAGCTACGTTGAGGGTTGATGGATCCATCAAGAGCTGAGCTCCTCGTTCTGCCAGACTGAGAAAACTCAAAGTGAGGTAAATTCCTTTTTCTGAAGCTTATAAATGGACATGGACAATCAAGTTCTTACCTATCTATTCCTTGAAGAATGGAATCGTAAGGTCTAAGTTCGATCCCTGCGTTTTTCAAATGATCTTTCACCTCCGCCGTTACTTTAGAATTATCTACAAAGAGTTGGGCTTGGTCAACCTCTACAATCAGATACGCGTACATTACAGGTGAATGTGGAACATCGCTCCCTCTCTGCAATCAGAAAAGGCACAATACAACATCAATACATTGGGACCTAAGTGAAGTATAAGCTGAGAACAGTGGCACAAAGCTAACAGGTTCAAATGTAAGATGCTAATCTAGAGTATTACCAGATTAAGCACCCATGCAATCTCATCAAGCATGGATATTACAATGGCAGATGCGCCAGCATCCATAATTTGATTCCTCAGAGACAACAATTTCGAGGCCACATCTACACCAGCATACTTCAAGTCATGTATCCCTATTTGTTTGCTTGGAGGCTTTGGCCTTGAGTCCTTCCATATCTCATCCACAATATTTACATTGTACAAGTAAACCAACTCATGATTCTTCTTTGCTATAACCTCCTTCAATTCCTCAGCAGCATCGGCGGAAAAAAGGAACTGCTCCCTTCATGAATTCCAAAGTATAGTAAATACAAACCACAAACTACGATATTGAAGCTATCTAAGAACGAATACAAGATGAAATACTAAGGAAAAAAGGAGACACAATTTAGAAGGTTGATAGTAGCTTACAGGGTCAATACCAACTCTTCCACCAGGAGCCAAAACATCAGCTACCCATTCACTTGCCGTGGGGACTCCCAGATTACCAGCACGCATGAGAATCCAACTAGAGTTTAATTGCTTCTCCGCCTTTGATACAATAATTGCAGCGAATGTAGATACAAAACGCCACATTTCCTTTCAAATGTATGTATAAAATAGCAATCAAATTTTTCAGAAGGTTAGAACATGATCAAAACCTGGAGAAAATAGCGGCCATCTGTCCATAGCGCTGCTTTATCCTTGGTGACAACAGCGGTACCAGCACTACCAGTAAATCCTGATATATAAGCCCTCCTCGCATAGCACTCTGCGATGAACTCGCTCTAGTACAAATATGGAGAAAAATCATACTCAAGCCATGAAACACTCAGGCAGTTTATGAATACATTTAAAAGTAAAACATAAATTTGTGACTTTCCTAATGGCACAAAAAATATGTGACATTATGAAAGAAGTTATGAAAGAAGATCTTAAGCTCCTAATATGTAACATTCACCGAAACAACACATTACCCATAGCAAGATGACAAAAACAATTGCATAGGTGCATAACTAGTGAAAATTAAGTAACAACCCCCGCACAGCCGCACTGGTCCAAATCTTTTTTTTTTTTAATCTTGAATCTCCAGATCGAATTCAGGGACAGCAAGATTTACGTGTGAGCGAAGCAAGAAACTTTAGGAGAATGAAATAAAACACGAGTTGGAGAATTTCATCCTGTGATTTAGAAGAAGAAGAATTTCCTATTCTGACAAGTTGAGATTTGACTAGGAAGAAAAATCTGAATGCATTTTCAAGCCAACATATATAAGATCAGATACCACCAAAGCAGTTTATTACAATACCATGAAGTAGAAATTACAAAGACGAAGAGTTTATGCATAACACAACTGACAGATATCATAACAAACATATATGTTTCACAATCACTCAGAGAAATTGTGAGAGATGATGGTGTTCAACGAGTACTTATGGTGACTACTCTGCGCTTGTTTCGATGGAACTTGTCCATGAACCACTCGTGTTTGTGTGAAGTAAAGAATATATGTCCAATAACTAATCCACAGAACACACCAGGTCCGTAGGCTATTGCCGCTGCTATCCAGTTAATCACTTGTTCTTCTGGTTCTGAAAATTCCTCAGATTCTCGTGGTGTAGAATTCGGGACATGAGTTGTTCCACAGATTTTCTCGAGACCGTAGAGTCTGAGGTTGTCCTTGAATGTAGAACAATGTTGGCTTTGAAACTGTGTGCCTAGTGGAACTGGACCTTCGAGAAGGTTGTGGGAGAAATTCATGGTCGACAGAAAAGAGAGGCTACCAAGATCTCGAGGAATGTGACCTGATAGTTGATTCCGGGATAGGTCTAACGTCTCGAGACTTGTCAAATTTGCCAATGATTGAGGGATATTGCTTGTGAATGCGTTACCTGACAAATTGAGAAGACGCAATTCCTTCAACAAACCAATGGATTCAGGTATATTCCCAAAAAATTTGTTTCCAGAAAAGTCAATGGCTCTGAAGGAATATGGGATCCGCAAGAAGTCCGTTTCTACTCCTTTATATATCATAGTCATCGAATTACTATGGCTGAACTCGGGCCCTTTCTCCCCCATGTACCAATCCTCTGTACCTATATTAGAGCCGTTTTCTTCCAAGACAGATGTCACCATCTCACGCCAATTGGAGAAATACAAAGGTGACAAAGTTCCACTGAAGCCATTCTGTGATATATCAATGAGTCTCAAATGTTGAAACCCAATAAATATGTGGTCATAATATAACGACCCATAGAATGCATTAGATCGGAGGATGAGGACACGTAATGATGGCAAAGAACCCAACCAGGATGGAAAAGTGTCCTTGATTATGTTGCTTCCCACATTCAGAAGTTCCATATAAGTGCAATTGATCAAGGATTTTGGAAGTTTC